GATATTTTTGTGTAATTTTGGCAAATATATCTGTTAAAATGAGATGTCAGTGTTATTTTTATTTTTTGTGTAATTTAGACAACAATTTATCCATTGCACCCAGTATATATATATATATATATATATATATGTGTGTGTGTGTAAATATCTCAAAAAGATATAACAACCTTACTAATCTACTACAGCTTCACCCTTTAACCAACTGATAATATCTACAGATACTGCTCTACAGACTATATATTGAGTACATCCTAAAATTACATTGAATTTGTCTATTTCAGGGCAGAGTCTGTCCCTTAATTTATTTATGCAAGAGGAAATTCTATCTATCTATTCTCTCTCTCTCTCTCTTTCTCTCTATCTATCTATCTATCTATATATATATATATATATATATATATATATATATATGTATGTATGTATGTGTGTGTGTGTGTGTGTGTGTGAATATAAATTCTTAAATATTACTCACTTTTTGTCAGACTTTGAATTATCCAACTTTGTGTCATCCACATGTTTTGACTGACCTTTCAACCTCCTAATGAATATTCATGAATGTTCTGAAATTTACAAGACTTCATAAACCAATGACATCCTCACTTTTCTATATAAACATATGCAGCAAAATAAATCTTTCATTGCCTTGATAAAATCCCTCAGTGAATATATATATATATATATATGTATATATGAACGAAAAGACAAGTCTCTTCTACAAATATACTTTATCTAAGAATATATATAGAAAATATAAATTATCAATATATATTGATAAATACCAATTTTCTTTATGAAAATATTGACTTGTATAATAAAATTTTACATTGTGTTCTATTCTAAACTTCCTTTTGCCTGTACCTATTATGATATATATCTTTTATATATTTATAACTAAATTTTACATTTGTGCAACTGGAGTAAATATATGTATTATATACAGAAATACATCAATTATTTTCTGGAAAAATCAGGAAAACAAACTCTGAATAAAGCCGAAAGACAAATAAAAAAATTATTTTTCTATTTAAACTCTGCCTATATATTTCTGTAAACAATGGTTCTAGCTTTTTAATCTTTTTGGGTAAAGTAAACTTGGAAACATTTAAATGATAACATTTTCTGAAAACTATTGGTATGCCCTCATGTGTTTTGTAGTGTCTGTTCACTTTTGTCTTTGTTGTTTTTTGTTGGTGGGTTTTCATGACTTTTTTTCTTTTAGAAGAAAAATGGAAGTATATGTAAAAAATAAAAAAAAACAGGACAAACAAATTTTCATAGATAATTTAGCACATGTTAGAGTCACCTGAAATCACCTGGAAAAGTAACCAGTCAAAACAACAGCTAAAACCTCAAAGATGAGATAAGCATAGCGCTTAGAGATAGGAGAGGCTGCTTGGTGGCTGAAGTAGTTTCATATACTCCACCTCCACTGGTGATCAGTATTTGTACTCTTATAAAAGCTCGTATTTTGAAAGATGATTAATGTAAAATGATCTTCGTACACTTAGCTAAACTTTGTAAATATTTTACTGCCGATATTTGCATTGGGAGAATCATGGTTGTATTTCAGGAAGAAAATTATTCTATGTTTTTAGAACAGAAGAAAAATTGTAAAGAGAGAAAAAGAAGAAAAAGGAGGATGAAGAAAGAAAGAAAGAAAGGTAGGAAAAATAAATAAAGTAAAACAAAAATAATACAAAAACAAATAAAGAAAAATGTGTTAAGGTTGAAAATCCAAGTATTTCTCATTAGTGTCTGAAGTTGGTGGTCAAGACTAACTAAAATTTGAAATGCTCACTTTCTAAATTGTTTTCTGCTATTGTTTGAAACATTTGAGTTGTGCAGTCTTTCTCTCTACATTACTGTCATTCACCTTGTGCCAAATAAAGCTAACATCTGTCTATATTTTTTAGATGAGTTATTGTAACTATTTACACTATATACATCAATCTGACTGTTGTCCTCATCTTTATTGCCGTATTCATGAGATTTTGGCTGTTGTACTTACTGGCCATCTTCAGGTGATATTTCTTGAAATTTCAGTAGAAATGATGTAAATAGTGTAAATAAATGAAGCTTCGTAAATATTGATCCAGAGTGGAAAGAAAGAAGAGTAAAGTTCATGCAGAAAGAAAAAAAATGAAATAAATTTGAGGAAGAAATTATGAATATATATTTTTTCATAGCTTTGCTTAGTCTGGCATAAGGCTACAATACGCAACTCCAAGACAGAGAGATGGAAAAAGTATATATATATATATATATGTATGTAGAGGAATATGCATGTGAAAAACAAAGAAATAAGCAATGTTCAAACACAACTCTACAAATAGGTAAATAAATTTTATTATTGACTACTACTTTTCTTTCAAATTCAATGAAACAAATTGCAGAGATCCTTGCAAAACAAAGTCACACAAAATATTTTGTTTTGTTTCTTTACAATACAATAGAATCAACTGTGTTAGTATGATAAAAGAAACTAAATTTGTCTACATAAAAAGAGTGTCCCGTATTTATGTTGTTTTATGAATGCATGTAATTTTCCAGTAGTCAGCAGGCAAAACAGTGTTATAACTACTACTAACATATTGATTACATACCTCCGTTTGTGTGTTTCAATTGGGCTTAATTTACTTACAAATTGCAAGGCTATTGCAAGAAGTTACTCAACAAATATGTCAAATGTTGAGTAATTAATTATCTGAAAAGTTTGAGAATTCAGTATGTCCACAACACCAAACAACTGACACTGGTCAAAGGTTTATGGAAAAACTGAAAACTGATTTAACACTATGAATATTTATAGAAAATAGTCTCAAAGAAGCTAAAAATGAACTTACTAAACTTAGAAATTTATTGGTTAATAAATATTTTTCCCAATTTTTAAATATCCATTTTTAGGAGAGAAAATACTGCTGATTATTTTCTGGGGTGATCCCTGAAATCTTGTAGCAGACAAAAAACATGGTTGTTTAATTTTTCAAAAGCTTCAGGACATTTAAAATGAAATTGCTGATTGATTATTAAATGCAAGTGTAGAAATTCAGATCTGGAGCATATGTTGCACAAAATATGTTAATTGGGGTTTTTAGCAATATTACTTATATCTATGAATTTTTTCTATAATTTTTAACATTTTTTTAAAAATTTTTTTTTCCATACATATATATATATATATATATATATATATATATATATATATATATATATCTTTGTTCATATTTAAGTGGATGCATAAATAATATAATGGATACGGGAAATTGGCGAGCTATGTTCAAATTCTGGTTGGGTTCATTATATTCAATTACACACAAATACCATTGCGAAAGGTATGAATTCATCTTCTTCCCCCCAGCTATGTTAATCAGTAGGACTTGTATCTAGAAAAATCATTGGTATTTGAAAAAAAATTATTTATTTATGTAATATTCACACACAAAAATGAATTATACTCACATTCCAAAATATACTTTGACTTTAAATATTCCAAAAATGGTCGATAAGCCATAAAAAAAACATATCAAACAATTAATCATCCAGCTATCCTATTTAACAAAACATATATATAATTTTTTTTATCAATTTAAACATTATTTTTGGTGGATACTTGCATTTGGGTAGAAATATTTTGATTTCTTAAACAGTATATTTATTTATTTTCATCTACAAGAAATTTATGAGAGACAAAATGTTGGTTGAAAGCACAAAATTTAGCCTCACCTCACCGAGTGTTCTCTGTGGCCAAGTTGATAAGGTGTATGGGACTAAACGGTAGCTCCCTCTGCACACTCTATTCCTGCAGGAAAGTGCAAATTTTTCTTTGATAAGATTTCTCAAACATTCAGGTCAATAGAGATGATGAATGCACTGTTTAATAAATAAATGGAGTGCATACTCAAATACTAGTATTTAAAGTGATAAAAATATATATATATATGTGTGTGTGTGTATTAGAACCATTATATATATATATAAATGTATATATATATATATATATATATATATATATATATATAAAAGAAATAATCATACATTGAATCAATTAGCAATATTAATTGATTCAATGTATGATTATTTCTTTATAATATAAAATATATGCTGCCTAATATATTTTTATATATATATATATATATATATATATATATATATATATATATATCACACACACGCATCCATACACACACACACACAATTAAAAGGAAAATAAGTCAATCTTGTACCAAAAAATGTGCATATGAAAGAAAAAC